GTCCATTGAAATTACTGAGGCTACTCAAGGAACAAGGTACTACTCAATGAGAGGAAGGATAATCCAATGGATAGGGTGTTCGCCTAGGACTTGGAAGACTTGTTCCCTGCTCTGCCACAAACTGCCTGTGTGACTGCAAAATAGAGATAATCAAAAACGTGAGAATAAATACATTGAAGAATGTGAGGTGCTATTTCAGTGCTATGGTAATGAGGACCATATAAGTGTGATAGATAGATAAGAGGAGCAGAATCTGGACTGTGAATTTTTTGAAAATTCTTGTTTAAAATGCTGCTAATATGTAATGTACATGTTAGCCTTGCATTTGGGGTAAGTGTGATCACATATAATTCTTTTTACAAAACAGTTAGAATTTGGGAGATTGGTAACTGGACAACAGAGCTTTTCTTCTGCGGATCACAGGTACTTCTGTGATGAGTGCGGATAGAGGTGTAGTTTAAATCTAGTGCAGACTGGCAGTGACTGAAAGCTCTTAGCATGTTATAGTTGGCGTTACCATGTTTGGTGGCCCATGTGAAACAAGGGGTGGCTTTAGTCCAGTTGCTATGGAACAGGCATTCACATCATAAAAGCCGCCATCACATGTGACACTCTGAGTCATTCCTGAGGGCTGTGCACAATCAAGCTTGATGGGATTAGTGACAGTTACTGCAGGACTCATGTTTCTGTGTTTTAGGCTGTTCTGATTTCTCTGTGGGATTTCTACGAGCCGGGCAGTACGTAACAAGGTAGATGGGGTAAAGAGAGACATGCAGAATCCAAAGGATTTTTGCCATCAAATAACAGTTCTTGGTACCTTGGTCATCATCTCACCATGGTAAATCCCAAAGTGATGGGCCCTGGGTGGTTTCCTTTTAGTCATGATGGAACTGCTTGAGACTAGGGCGCCACGCCGAGCGCTTGCGGAGGCTCCGCCCGAGGCTGCCAGCCACCTGTAAAGCAGTTGCAGGGGCTGCACTGTGGTAGCCCCGCCTTACTGTTGTGCGTCTGCTGACACAACGTTCCATCCGCTCCCCCGCTTTGTGGGAGGGGGGTAGGAACACAGGGAGCGGCAGCCCGCCCAGAGCAAGTTAATAGCATTCTAGGGCCTGCTTCATTCTAGCAAGGGGGAGAAGCGGTGTAGGGATGCACAGAACCTGGCCTTACTCCCATGAAAGTCTGTGAAATCCATGGGAGCTTTGCCATTCAGTTCAATGCCAGCTGCATGTCTCTGCCCCCGCCTGCACACAGCAGGGAGGAGCACAGCCCTGCAGCAAACATTATTTTTCTCCTCTTACAACAGTCACAGCTACATTGGCTGCAGTGCTGCCCCGGTGTTGCGTGCATGGTTACTATGGGAGGTACAGCAGGGCTGGTTTTTCCAGGGCACCCTGGAAGACAGGCCTTTGGTCCTCCAGCAGGGTTCCTGTGAAAGTAAGAACCTGCAAGTGAAACTGACTCCATTACTAGTTTTAGCCTAAACCCAAAGGGCTTTCAGTAGGGGAGCAGATTACCATGGAGAATGACATGGGTTTTCCAAATTCTTTCCCTTTCAATAGTTGATTGATGCTGCATGACCCCAACCACTCCAGGCTGAAGGGAGTGAAGAGTAGCAAGTGCATGCACTGTCCGAAGGAGGGAGTGGTGCGCTCCAGCAGGCCGGGATAGCGTGGGTTCATCATCACCTTCAGTTTCTGCAGGGAAGTGTTTGCAGCCACTGCCGTGAGTCTGTTGTATCTCCTTGCTCCTGCCTCCATCTGTGCTGCCATGTAGAGTGTGAGGCTACATTAACAACAACGTGTTAACCCTTGAGGGTTCAGCCAAGTGCTATTTCATCATTTAGCAGCAAGGCATTTCCCTGAGAAATATTCCACCTGATATCGACACGCTGCTTTAGGAGAAGTTCATGAGCAGATCCGCAGACAAACCTCTGATGAGTGACTGCAGGGAGATTTGGGAAAAGGGAAGCCGCTGCTAACGTGCGTGAGCAAGAAACAGAAGGGGCTCAAGGAGCTGACATAGGACATTGTTCCAGTGACTCTGTGCAAGTCTGTTTTAAATGTAATGGTGAAGGGCTCATTGTGATTGTACTGTACAGTATCACCCAGCATCATGAGTCAAAAACGCCGAGCAAGTCATAGTGGAGTGCTTAGTAGTAGCAGTACCACTAGCAGTAAGAAAACCAGGAAAACCATTAGTTTGGGTACTAAATTAGATGTTTTAAGGCATTTTGATGCAGGTGAGCGTGCGGTAGACATTGGCATCACTCTAGGTCTCACTCCGACCACTGTGAGAACAATTCGGAGTAATGCCGACAAGATCAGGGCTAGTGCTCGGTGTGTAACACCGCTTAGTGCTACTAAAATAAGTCGATCAAGAAGTAGTTTGATGGAAAACATGGAGCGTCTTCTCTCAGTGTGGATAGAGGACCAAAACCAGCGGAACATACCTCTAAGTTTGCCTGTGATACAAGCTAAGGCAAAAAGTTTGTATGACAAATTAAAGAGAGACCAAGGTGAAGGATCACAGACAGAGATGTTCATGGCAAGTCGGGGATGGTTTGATCGGTTCAAGAGGCGCTTCCACCTGCACAACATGAAGATGTCCGGTGAGGTGGCTAGTGCCGATACTGCAGCAGCTGAAAAATTCCCAGAGTATCTCAAGAAAATAATTGAGGAAGGAGGCTATTCACCTAAGCAAGTCTTCAATGTCAATGAAACAAGTCTCTACTGGAAGAGGATGCCTGAACGGACTTACATTTCCCGAGAGGAGAAGACAGCGCCTGGATTTAAAGCAGCTAAAGCCTGCCTAACCTTGCTTCTAGGTGGTAATGCTGCTGGAGACATGAAGATGAAACCGCTGACAGTGTACCAATTCGAAACACCACGAGCTCTCAAGGGATTTTCAAAGGAAGACCTTCCGGTCATTTGGAGATCCAATAAGAAGGCATGGATAACTGGAGCTATTTTTTCAGAATGGCTGACTCTCTATGCCATCCCTGCATGGAAGGAATACTGTACCAACGAAAATCTTGATTTCAAGATTTTATTACTTATTGATAATGCACCAGCTCATCCAATCAATCTGGATGACCTGTGCGAAAACGTCAAAATTGTCTTTCTGCCACCTAACACCACATCACTCATCCAACCCATGGACCAAGGAGCCATCGCTGCGTTTAAGGCATATTACTTACGCCGTACTTTCGACCAGCTCATCAGAGGCACTGATGGAGAAGGCAAGCCTACGATTCGGCAATTTTGGCGTGACTACAACATCCTCAAGTGCATCAATAACATTGGTGAGTCCTGGGCTGAAGTTACTCAGGCATGCATGAATGGTGTGTGGGGGAAGTTGTGGCCTGAATGTGTCAATGACGTAAAAGGATTTAAAGATGTTGTTCCTGCTATGAGGAAAGATATTCTCAGCTTGGCCAAGAAAGCGGGTTTTGATGAGGTGGAAGAAGCCGACGTTACACAACTTCTGCAGTCACATGGAGAAGAGCTAACCAATGAAGATCTGATGCAACTAGACATGATGAGAGCAATGGAAGACGAGGGCCAAGAAGTAAAAGAAGAACCAACCCATCGAAATTTGACTGCCAAACGTCTTTCTGAAGCTTTCCAAATGATTGAAGCTGGCTTGCAGATCCTTAGTGATGATGATCCTGACAGGGAACGCAGCTCCAAAGTGATTAGGGGAGTTGGTCATCTAATGACTTGCTATAAAGAAGTTTACGAAGAAAAAAAAAGGAAAGCAAAACAACCATCTCTAGATATGTTTTTTCGTGTTGTGACGGTTAAGGAAGAACAGCAAGAGGAGCAGCCGGACGATCTACCCTCTTCCACCTCTGACTCCACCACCTCAACCAAGCTTAACAATCATCATTGCTGAGTACAGTATTATATTGTTTGTTTGAAATTGTTTAAAACGTATATTGTACATGTATATAATGTCTTTTGCCTGGCAAATTTTTTTTTCCTGGAACCTAACCCCCCCCCACATTTACATTAATTTTTATGGGAAAATTAGATTCGCTTAACATTGTTTTGCTTAAATTCGCATTTTTCAAGAACATAACTACAACATTAAGCAAGGAGTTACTGTATAATCATATGATTACCATCCCCTGCTGAATACAGTATTTAATATTATGGAATGCATGATGCAGCTCTTCCTTGTTTTACATTTTCTTAATCAGTATTTCTAAGCTGATTTTATATTTTAAATGTACTCTTAAGCCTTCATAAAGTAATCATTCCAGCTTACTACATATTTAACTCACTGAAACAAAGACATTATTTTAAATTAATCAGTCACAGAGGTTTAGTGTGTTCATAACAATATTCATTGCTTTTAGAAAAAGGGAACACTAATTTACTTTGTGTGATCTCCATAACAATAAATAGACATGTTTATGAAGTTTCACCAACTTTAAAAAATATGTTTCCAAAGATTTTAGGCATAACAAAGGATTTTATATGTTACTAAGGTACTGATTTTGCTAGAGGGTTCTCTTAAAACTACTTCATCAAATAGTCAGAAGTAAAGAAAGGGAAACTCATTCCATTCCAGATATCTGGAAGGACAGGGGTGTTGTCCCTTTAAGGGCTCTCTTCAACAGGGGGGTGAAGGGAGAAAGGGATGGACAGAAAGGATAAGAAGCAAGTTTTTTTGTACTATAGCAATTAAAATTAAAATGTGTATTTTAGATAAGGGTGGTCTTTTGAAGGATTTATTTAAAAAACGATATGTCTGAAGATCCAAGCATTTAAGGCTAAAGATGAATACTCAGATTGTGTATCTAAAAATCTATGCAAGGATTTTTTAGAGATATGATTTTATAATCTTCAGCAATCTTCTAATGAAATATTTTTAAAGCAAATTTTAAACTAAGGTCCTGTAGACTAACATGTCCTGAGTAAATATTACAGTAATGCACAACTGTTTTTGTCAGTAAATTCAGAAACTGACAGTATATACCTAGGGGTTGGCAAATGCCTGTTAAATGGCTTCATTACTTGAACATCTTTTTAACTTAAATGGCAATTTAACAGTTTCAATGTTGTGCTAATACAGGGGTGGGCAAACTTTTTGGTCCGCGGGCCACATCTGGGTATGGAAATTGTATGGTGGGTCATGAATGTTCATGCAATTGGGAGTTGGGGTGTGGGAGGAAGTGCGGGCTCTGGCTGGGGGTGCGAGCTCTGGGGTGGGGCCAGAAAGGAGGAGTTCAGGGTGAGGGAGGGGGCTCTGGGCTGGGGCGGGGGTTGGAGTGCAGGGGAGTGAGGGCTCCAGGTGGGGGTACGGGCTCTGGGGTGGGGCTGGGAATGAGGGGTTGGGAGTGCAGGAGGGTGCTCCGGGCTGGGACCAAGGAGTTTGGAGGGCGGGAGAGGGATCAGGGCTGGGGCAGGGAGTTGGGGGTCAGGGGTGCAGGCTCCAGGTAGCGCTTACCTCAAGCAGCTCCCAGAAGCAGTGGCATGTCCCCCCTCTGGCTCCAGTGCAGAGGCGCAGCCAGGCAGCTTGGCATACTGCCCCGTCAGCAGGCACCCCCCTGCAGCTCCCGTTGGCCGTGGTTCCAGTGGGAGCTGCGGGGGCAGCGCTCAGGGTTGGGGTAGCGTGCAGAGTCCCCTGGCTGCCCTTACTCGTAGGAGCCGGAGTGGGGACATGCCGCTGCTTCCTGGAGCTGCGCAGAGCCACAACACGCGTGGAGCAGGGCAAACTCCCGGCTGGAGTGCCGGAGCAAGGCAAGCCTCGGACCACACTCCCTGGCGGAACCTCAAGGGCCAGATTAAAACATCTGAAGAGCCAGATGCGGCCCCTGGGCCGTAGTTTGCCCACCCCTGTGCTAATAGGTCTGGCAGGCTGGAAGGCTTTTTCACTTTTAAGTTACTAGATCCCCTCTGGAGGAAGACTCACCAGGCTGCAGCAGCTAGCTGTGGGAGCCTGCAGGAAGGGTCAGAACAGGGATAGGGAGAAGTGGGAAGGTGGACACTAAGACCCAGGGGTGCCCCAAATTTTCGGGTGGCCTACGCAGCTGCGTATGCTGCGTAAGCCTAAGGACGGACCTGTGTTTATGTGTGTGTGTGAAAGAGAGGGAGAGACAGAGTCACACACCGTGTGTGTCAGAGAGAGAGAGACGTGCATCGCTCCTTTAAATATGTTGACCCCACTCTAAGTACATTGCCTTTTTTAAGTAGATCAGCAAGTTGAGACAGCGGCTGCTGCCAGGAAGTTCCCTCCCTCCTGAGCCCTGTTTGTCCCCTACTCTGTGGAGATAAGGTACAGGAGCGGGGGGGTTGGGGGGGAGGGGAACACCCTGACAGTAGCACCCCTCTCCCCTCCCCCCACTCCGCACAGCAAGCAGGAGGCTCCCGGGAGCAGCTCCAAGGCAGAGGGCAGGAGCAGCACACGCAGTGGGGGGAGGGGCAGCTGAACTGCCCAGCAATTGAGAGCCTGCTGAGCGGCTGCGCAGAGGGAACTTAGGGGAGCTGATGGGGGAGCTGCCGGTCCAGCCTGGTTCCAAGCCCCCACCACTAGCTCCTACTGGCCGCTCTTCCTGCAAGCAGTGGAAAAAGAAGGCGGCTGCCAAACAACTTTATAAGGGAGCATTGTGCAACTTTAAACGAACATGTTCTCTAATTGATCAGCAATGTAATAATGAAACAAAATGTTAACCGGGATGAGGTTACGTGAGGAGTTACTCTAATGAGAAAGGAAAGCGTAGGGGAGACAAAGT